GCATGCAGTACTGTGGTGTTAATTGAAATTCAATTAGTTTTGCTGATTTTGTACACTGGAAACATTACTGGCATGCCTGGCAATTGGTTCTAATGTATTTCTGATCTGTGATCCAGAATCCATTTTCCTGACTCTTGGTGGAGTACTCATTTGCTTAAAAGCCAGAACGTTTTTTAAGCCTGTCTGCTTTGTTTACATGTAATTTTGTCTTTATAAATACTATATCCATGTTGTGACCACAGGATTGCCAGACTCTGAGTTAGGCCCTGTGAATGGAGTTGAGGGCAGTGAAGATGGAATGGAGGTTGACCAAAACAAACGTGGTGTTAAACGACCAGTTGCTGATCATGAAAGTGATGACGAGAGTTCTGCTGCACCTCCTGTGAATGATATCTATAGAAGCCGACAACAGAAGCGAGTGCATTGAGCAAAAACACACCATTTCGTACTGCGACAGTTATACCTCACCAATGTACATTACTAGAAGACCTTTATTTGCAATGCACCAGTGAATGATATAAGTTCCTCTCCTACCCTCTGATGCATGTCCTTGAATAAAATGTTAGCTCTCCAATCTCTAGACACCCTTCTCATGTATTCTATAGTGGCCAATAGCCATTAGTGTGTAGATAGTCCACTGAGTGGTAGTTTTAATGATTAGGTCATGAATGTTGGTCTTGGCCACTAGTGTATACTGGTCTTTATTTTAACTTGGACATTTTTTACCTGCATTCCAGTTGATACTCACAAAGCATTGTATGGCATTTTCAAGTCAAATAAGTTATGAAACTTGTGTAATAAAGAATGAGAACAATTTTCTTGGACACCTCTGTCCCATTTGTGGTGACAAAAATTTGTAGAATAAACTTATAGAGCATTTTCACAACATCACATTGGTGTTCCAAAACAATGAATGGTGGCCATGTTGGTGTATCAAACCAATCCTGTTGGAGTTGAAATCTTTTCTTATGCTTCCTTTGTTCCAANCCCCCCCCCCCCCCCTGCCCCCCTCCTTTTATAGTACACTGCAGTAGATCCCGCCAGGAAATTTCAGTGAAAATAGGGCTCATTCAAAAGGGAATTCATAAGTCAATAGAACAACAGTCTGGGTTTAAATATAGAAAATGGGGAAAAAAGTATCACTGCAGCAGTTTGCTTTACAGTGCCAGTGATCAGTGCACTCTACAATGCAAAGTGATATTTTACTGCAAGTCCGTTCTTGACTTTTTATTCCCCACTGAATGAGCATAGAATATGAAATTTACCATTAAGGAAGATGGCCTGGGATCTACTCAGTAGAACCCACCAGTATTGTGTGCAGCATGAGAGAATGCCTGTTGTAATTTAAGTAGCACTAGTTTGGAGTGGGGCGAGGGGTGTAATCTGTCAAACGTCGATTTTGCCCGTGCCCAAGCCTTACATAATCTCAGATCTGTCAACTTTGTTGTATACTCCCTGTACTGTAGGGAGATAAAGAAAACTCTTCCAATCGTTCTTCTTCTGGCAAAATGTTATTTAGTCTTTCCATCATAGGTACAAGCCGTTTAAGATTAGCATCAATCCTCTTGAGGTTGGCGCTCATTTCTTCGACTTTCTTCAGCTGCACAGCTGCCTGGGATAATCTCTTATACCTGTCGTTTACCCTTCGTAGAACTGAAACACAGTAAACATCCATTTCTCGAATCTGTGACGAGAGCATGTGTTGATCAAACGACACGGCTTCCGCACATTGCTTTAAGTGTTTTTCATACCTCAAACACAAAGACAAACCGGGACGAGGGTCGAATTTATCAAAGAATTCCAAATCTTTGCTCGCAGGGGCATTTATCGTACCTCGAAGTAGTGGATAAAAAAATGGTATATTGTTTAGTTTTTTAATGTCGCGATCTTCCTTTTTGGAAACAATTTTCGTGGTTCCAGTTGGGGCATTGACAACCATAATGTCTTCCAGCTTGGCTCTCTGTTTCGTCTTCGATTTAGTGTCGTCATTTTTCTCCACAGAATACTTCGTATAGGGTACATTTGGATGACCCATCTGACCTGCCAAACTACTGCTTTGATCTTGTCCCATGCTTGGCTATATTTGAAAGTCTACATTTTCTTTCGGACTTCAATCTTTCATCCGTCTGCGAGAAGACTTTAAGTGTCGTCCGCCATTTTTGATTGACAAAATGGTTTCCAGACTCCTCACGTTAGCTTTTTCCTTTGTGGAAAACCGCTGACAAACGAGACTGTACTCTCAATCACTCGTAATTTTAAATTTATTCAAATGTTCCATGCGAGAAGGGGCGGGAGTTTTTAAACCAAGTAAGCTACTGTTATTAATCGTACTTTTGACCAAACATGTTGCTAATGTTTAGTGTACGGTATTAAAATTGGTGGGAGTCTAGCTTTGGTATGTTTCATTCACTTTTGTCTCTAAAACCCTTGATCCTTTGATCGCCAAAAATGGCAACAAATGAATATAGGGGGTAAGTTTCTAAAGAAACTGTGGTGCTGCGTCGGTGGGGAGTATAACAAGATAATTCGGTTTTATCAACTGGGTTGATAATGTAAGTTGGCCACCGTAAAGAGATTCGAAAGCTGACGTTTCGAGCGTTAGCCCTTCCCTCCGACGAAGAGCTAATGCTCGAAACGTCAGCTTTCGAATCTCTTTACGGTGGCCAATTTACATTATCAACCCAGTTGATAAAACCAAATTAAAAACGGCAACACGCAGGTTAACAACACAAACTCCGGATTTTTTATAGTTAAGCTGACGTATGTGCCGTTGCCATGACAACATGAATAAATATAAACAGGCTTTTAAAATCGGTTTTGTTTGTTTACAGAAAATCTAGTCATTAGATTCCCTTTCTCATTTGCATGTAGCAAGCTTGTAACGATGCTCACAAGGTAACACTATTTTACTAATAGTTTAACAGAGAGATCTTTAATTATCCCTTGTTGAAGTTTAACTGGAATAAAGTGAACTTGGATTTATCGTTTGACAGACTTTCGAACCGTGGCTCCCGGCCTCCCGATCCTGACTTGCCTATAATTGTAAGATGTAAGAGAGTTTTAGTTTTCCAGTGAGCTTTTCTGTTTGAATCGCTTGTCCTTTAGCTTTGAGCTTGAGTTATGTCAAACTGCACAAAACATAAGCAATGAAAAATATTTTTGTTCAAGAAAAATTAATACTTTGGTTAACTTTTTATCTGGGTTAGCTTAAACCGGCTTTCAAACAACCCGGCCCGGACCATTTCTCGAAGGTCCCGAAAAGTTTTCGCAGCCAGAAAGCAGTAGCAAAATCTCAATCCTTATGATCACGGAGCTGTTTTATTCACATGTTCTCAATACGACACAGAGGTTCTCTTCATAGAGAAGTTTTAGGCGTATACACTCAGTCTCGGTTTTTAGATACAGATTAACTAAAAATGGCTTATATAACG